TATGTCTGTGACTGTAACTCACTCAACAAGCTCCTTAACAAGGCGCTGATGGAAATAGCTTCATCTTCCAATTATCAGAAAGACTAATTTCCATTTTTTATGAAAGACAATCTTTTCCTCTTCTATGTTTTTATAATTTACAAGGATAATTATAGGACTATTTTCTCCAATATACCTTGTTTGCTTAACACTTTTGAAAACAAAAAAATCAAATGTTGATTTGTTCATGTTCAGTATCTTTTAGTTAGTTAGTATTTCCACGGCTGTGGTAAGATTATGATAAAAGCTAGAGTTAGAGGCAATTTAACTTTAGAGTTATATTACTTCTATGGATATCATGGAGAGAGAAGAGTATGGGCATTTTTATCTGCTATCAAGTAGAAGATGCATTCTCTTCTGAATGTATGAAACAAAGTCATGTTCAAACCTCACCAGCATGTCTATTTACTAAATTGAGAAGTGTCGGGAATGCAAAGTAAATTCGAAATGTTAGGCCAAAATACCTGACTTGGAAAACGTCTTCAATTTGACTATTTTGGCCTGAAATTTGAAATTCACTTTGGATTCCTGACAATTCTTTCTTTAAATGAATAACAATTCTACATTCTCCTTTGTACAGATGTATATGGTCACTGTCACGGGAGATGGGACTCCTCGTACGTGTTCCCTTATTTGTACTTTGTTTCATTTGATATCCCCCTGTATTCAAATGGAATCACTACTTGATAATTGTTTCCTTGTGTTCGGCTATCCGTTCCCTTCCGTTCAGTTACTGAACAGACTATGTGTGGTCCCCCTTGTTAACACTTCATAATCACTGACCACCCCTGGCTGTTAACCACAAACAAGCAATCACTTCAAATGCTTCCCTGGGTGTCTGTCATTCGCATATATGAACACACGTACTATAAGGACTGGCAGACATCTTGTCTCCCGAATGCAGGCAGTGGTACATGGTCATCTACGCAAGCTCTCAAACCCCGCTGAAACTTGTATCCCTGCCCGTTTGACTTCCCGACCAGCTAGGAGAACAGCGTTCGGGAGTAAGAAGGGAAACATAAATTTTTTAAAAGCCATGGGAGGCGTTTGTTGGTGTACGCACAGGAACCCCCGAAAGTTGACTGGCCAACCTGACCAATTCTCTGGAACTATTTTGGTCTACCACCTCATGGCTGGTCGGTCAAAACTTTGTTTGAACCTAACTCCCGTTCTACCAATCTGATCTGAGTGCCTTTTGGATATGTTGTGTGCTCAGATCGGGGCTATTCTGGAATATAATTTTTGTTGGGTTCCTATGCTGTTTTCATGTATTTTTGTGATATGTAAAAATACTATGCAAGTTTTCCTATTTGAAAGATAATTGAGTTTTCTTAATTGGAGCTCAATTATCTCTCAAACACAATGGCTTGTGGGAAGGAAATTCCTGTGATTTTGTCTTGGAAACCTCATGGTATGGGTACTGTATAAAAAGCAGTTTGGCCTAATAAAGATTAGATTGCTTCTTCTACCCAATATGACTGGTTGCGTCCATTATATTGGGGAAATTCTACACAACGATAATATTACCACCATATTCAGCACATCTGGAATTAGGTCTAGTGGAGGATTGAAGGAATAATAGCAATAGACTAGCGGACCCGTGACAGTCACCCATAGAACAAGATACGTTCTCAGAGTTCTCATATTCTTTGGGGTATTTTGCACTTACTTGGCTTTCCCCAAGTTAAAAGAGTAATCCAGACATGGGCCCCGTGCTCACTGTGCCTAGAGCTATATCAGCTACACCTCACTGCCGAGGCCCAAAGAAGAGTAAAAATAATCGTCTGTGGTTGCTGTATCTCTCGTGCAGAGAGAACTTACTGACATTTCGGTTCTGGAAGCCCTTATTGGTAGGATCAGTCTGATATGCCTTGGAACTAGCTTTTTCTGTAATGGCACAAGTGGGCAAAAACTATTTTGAGACCTGAGCCGTGAGTTACTGAAGGGCAAGCTAATGAGTTCCTCTCAGGTTTTGTCCTTTCTCAGAGTTCTCATATTGTGTGTTTTTACCTTCTAAACTATATTGTATTGCAAAGGATTTGCGTTTGCACTGATTATATTCACATAACTAATATTTTAATCCAAGAAATGAGATGATCCTTTCATGCTCATTGATAAAGAAAGCTCAATGTCACCAATTACCAATCTCAGGGAATAATATTATTATACTAAACTAGGTATTTCTCAAACTCATGGTAAACCACAGAAAGCAAACTCTTAAGGTGAATTTCAAATTTAAGGCCAACATATCCAACATAGTCAGCATTTATATTTCTGTCAACAAGCTGAAAAGAAGATAAAGCAAAAAAAGTATTATAATAAACTAAAAACAGAATTGACTTAGCAATTCTCACTTTAGTGAATAGCCCTCTGATAAAATGCTTCCAAAGGAACAACCTGGGCTTCAATCACTACCATCTGTATCCTGGAGATATGCATCTAACATAGTATTCTTAAGACTTCCTCTTTTCCTCTTTGGGGAACACTTAGATTTTTATTTTGTAATATGACAATTTTCTATGCATTCTTACTCTTTTCTGGTTTACCTCACCATTTCATTTAGAAATTGACAATGGGGAGGATTACCCCTCTGTTTAACTAATTAACTAATTTTCCAGCATTTTGGCATAATATAATATTATGTGATTTAGATATCAAGACATCTAGAACATATATATATATATATATATATATATATATATTTGTTAAAGTATGAAGAATTGTAAAGGCTGGCTAATAGAGTTGAGCAAACCCAGACTGTAAAGTCGGGTTCGTACCGAACATTAGGTTTTTTGGACCCCGGACCCGAACACGAACATATCACTGTATGTTCGGGTTAGATTTCCGTGTTCGGCAATTTAATGGCACGTTTTGAAAGGCTGCAGGCAGCCAATCAACAAGCGTTTGACTCGTGTGCCCTTAGAAGTCATCACAGCCATGCCTACTAATGGCATGGCTGTGATTGGCCAGTGCAGCATGTGACCCGGCCTCTATATATAAGCTGGAGTCGCGTAGCACGCACATGAGGTCTTAGTAGTGTAAAGAGAGGATGCTGCCGCTGATAGGGACAGCTTAGGAAAGAATTCTGCAAACTTGAACATTAGTGAGGTGGGGTGCACTTCATATCTGAGAGTCAAATAGAAGCTTCAAATACCGTGGTTACATCTGAGTTTTAAAAAGTCTATTTTTTTTTGGTGCTAAATAGTACATTAATGGGATAGTACATTAGTGGGGTGCACTTCATATCTGAGAGTCAAATAAAATTGTCAAATACTGCTGTCACATTGCAGTTTTAAAAATGTAAAATTTTTGGGTGCTAAAAAGTACATTAGTGGGGTGCACTTCATATCTGAGAGTCAAATAGAAGCGTCAAATACTGCTGTCACATTGCAGTTTTAAGACTTAAAATTATTTGGGTGCTAAACTGCTAAATAGTATTTTAGTGGGCTGCACTTCATATCTGAGAGTCAAATCGAAGCGTCTAATAGTGTGCATACAGCGCAGTTGTAAAAATTCTAATTTTCTGGGTGTTAATCTGCTAAATAGTACATTTTGTGGCCTGCTCTTCATATCTGAGAGTCAAAAAGAAGCGTCTAATAGTGTGCTTACAGCGCAGTTGTAAAAATTCTAATTGTTTTGCTGCTAATCTGCTAAATAGTACATTTTGGGGCCTGCGGTGCACTTCATATCTGAGAGTCAAATAGAAGCGTCTAATAGTGTGCTTACAAAGCAGTTGTAAAAATTCTAATTGTTTTGCTGCTAATCTGTAGTACACTTGCACTTCATAAGAGTCAAATAGAAAATTGTAGTTGTAAACATTCTAATTGTTTTGCTGCTAATCTACTGCTTACATTGGAGTTTTAAAAAGTCAATTTAAAAAAAATAAAACATTTTGGTGGTAAATAGTATATTTGGGTTGTTCACTTCATATCTGAGAGTCAAATAGAAGTGTCTAATAGTGTGCTTACAACGCAGTTGTAAAAATTCTAATTTTTTGGGTGCTAATCTGCTAAATAGTACATTTTGGGACGTGCACCTCACATCTGAGAGTCAAACAGAAACATAGAAACATAGAAACATAGAATGTGACGGCAGATAAGAACCATTCGGCCCATCTAGCCTGCCCAATTTTCTAAATACTTTCATTAGTCCCTAGCCTTATCTTATAGTTAGGATAGCCTTATGCCTATCCCACGCATGCTTAAACTCCTTTACTGTGTTAACCTCTACTACTTCAGCTGGAAGGCTATTCCATGCATCCACTACCCTCTCAGTAAAGTAATACTTCCTGATATTATTTTTTTCAGATTTGTATTTTATTATTTTCTTCAAAATGTGGTCTGGGGTACAGAAGGAAAAGGGGTATGTTAGCGGGGGGGTACAAAATTTCAGAATTTTACATAACCATCACATCCGTAGAATTTTGCAGAACCGGAGGTAATACAGGGGGAATTGGTACATACATGCATTTCGACACAGTAAATTGGGTATATGCGTAAGATGGTTAACTGTTAAATTGTGTACAGTGTCGCTTTGGTGTCTATGCGGCCTGGCTCTTAAGTGAGAGCCATGCAAGGGGATCCTCCTGTAACTAAGGTGTGAGTGGTCGGTTCAGCCGACGTAGTTATTATTGTAAGCCGTACGGCCTGTGGTGGTTCTTTACGTCAATTAGTCCCAAGTTTGCGGGTTGGGAAGTGCTGGAGTCATGCCTCATTTTGATGAGTGCGTTGGTGTATAAGTGGGTAGCCCCTATGGTAGGGCGAAAACTTGGTAGGGGGGTGGGGGGGTCTGGTTAGGCGTGGGTAAGTGAGGGGAAGAGGAGTGTGAGAGAGTGCTGGTAGAGTGTGGTACAAGTACCGTTTGTGTACTGTATGAGTCCTGTCCTCATCAGAGAACAGGGTTTTATTGTATTCGTTAGGAAGTTGTTAACTTCGTTGATTTTTTTTTTTCCTTGTACTGTGTTACATTTTTCGCCTGGGTATACCTCCCGTTTCGTCCACCTCCCCCTCCCAGTCTCCCCAGCTCACATCAAATGCAAGTTTCTTTTGTGGGGATACTATTGCCATTCTTTCATAGATTTTGTATTGAGTGAGTTTGGTTTGGAGTTGGGCTAAGGATGGGCAGGTCTGTGATTTCCAGTGTAGTGCTAGCAAGTTCCTTGCCGCCAGTATAGTAAGAGCTGCGATCTGTTTTTGTGCTAGGGTGAGGTTGGCTGGGAGTAGGAGCAGAAGACATGAGGGTTTCGACAATTGGAATTTAGGGATGTGAAGTTGGTCTAGTGTCGTGGATACTGCGGTCCAAAGTGGTTGGATACTGCCGCAAGACCACCACAGATGCTCCAAGGTTCCTGTAGTTGCATTGCACCTCCAGCAAGTATTGGGCGTATTGGGGTATATGCGGTAAAGTCTCTGTGGGGTCATGTACCAGCGGTAGAGGAGTTTTTTGTGGGCCTCAACGTGCGTGTAGCACTTTGTCCATTTAGAGAGGCCGTTGAGGGCGCATAGCCAGTCGCGGTCCGTCAGCACTGTCCCACAGTCTGTCTCCCAATGGAGTTTATAGGGGTGCGATGTGGTTGTTGAGAGTTCTTGCCATGCCTTGTAGCATAGCGTAAGTGTTTTGGGTTTTGTGGGTGTTGCCCAGCATCTGTCTAGGAGTAAGTAAGAGGTGAGTCTAGTCGCGTCTGGTGGTTTATGCAGTGAAGGTGTGTGCGCTTGTATCGCACTTTTTAGTTGTAGGTAGGAGAAGATAGCTCTGTTTGGGAGTTGCCACTGTGTTTGTAGGGCTGGGAATGGTATTATGCCTTTGGCGTCTAAGAGCTGTGATATTTTTGTCACTCCTGCTGTGTTCCAGTCCTTAAGGGGGGTGTTGGGTACTATTGTTCTTAAGACTGAGATTGGGGATTTGGTGTGTAATGTGTCCTTGTGGCCTATAGTCTCCATAAAGGTGTCCCATATGGATATTGTGAGTTGTGTGGTTGGGAACAGGTCCGTGTGTTTAGTTCTAAACTTCCTCGGTGTCCATAGGTAGTCGGTTAGAGATATGACTGTAAATTGTGTTCTTTCCATGTCCACCCATTGTAATGTGCCTGGTGGAGCGTGAAGGAGTATGCCCGTGGAGAGAATCGCTGCTCTGTGGTATTGCCTCAGGTTTGGGAGACCCACTCCTCCAAGTCGTGGAGCGGTCTGGAGAAGTGCTAAGGATACCCGGGGTCTTTTCCCGCTCCAGATATAAGTGCCACATAATTTTTGTAGTGCTTTACAAAATTGGGGCGTGATCCCTAATGGTATCATCCTAAAAATATAAAGAATACGTGGGAGGATCATCATTTTGTATGTGTTAATTCTTCCTAACCATGAGAGTTTTGCATGTTTCCATCTGTTCATTTCCACTTTACATAGTGTTAGTAGAGGTTTGTAGTTTAATTGTGAAGTGGCAGAAATTGTGGGTGCTATCTTTATTCCCAGGTATGTGATAGAGTGTGGTTTCCAGTCGAACTGGTAGGAGGTCTGGAGTGTGTCCAACAGGGGCTTTGGCAGGTTTATTGGTAGGGCTTGGGTTTTGTCTCGGTTTAGGCAGTAGTAGGAGATATCGCCAAATTTCTGTAGGAGGTCTAACAGGGGAGTAAGAGAGCGTTGTGGGTCCGACAGTGCTATAAATATGTTGTCGGCAAACAAAGCTAGACTGTACATTTTGCTGTGGATATTGACTCCTAGTATTTTGGGGTGTGATCGGATCTTTTGGGCCAGGGGTTCTAGGGCGAGTATGTACAGAAGGGGTGTACAAGGGGCATCCCTGGCGGGTGCCATTTGTGATGGAGAATGTAGCGGAAAGGAACCCTCCGTGTGATACCTTTGCTGCTGGGTGATGGTATAGAGCCATAATGCTAGTTATGGTGGATTCTGGGAAGTTAAATTGTGCTAGAACTTTAATCATATAGGCCCAGTTTAGGCGATCAAAGGCCTTCTCCGCGTCTCCGCGTCTAAGGCGAGGAGGAGGCCTGATGATCTGTTGGACTCCAATGTTAAAAATTTTCTGGTGTTGTCTGAGCCCTGGCGGCCTCTGATAAACCCGGATTGGTCGTTGTGAATTATTTTATGCAGGAGGGGGGCAAGTCGGTTACTGATTAGCTTCGCGTATAGCTTGGCATCTCCATTTAGCAGGGATATAGGCTGAAAATGTTTACATTGTGTAGGGGGTTTGCCAGGTTTGGGGAGAGTAGAGATATGTGCCAAGAGCATTTCTTCTGGGAGCGCGCCCGCCGTAGCGCATTTGTTGACTAGTTGAAGGAGCAGTGGCGCTATGGTTGGTGAAAAGGTTTTATAGTATTCATTTGTTAAGCCATCTGGGCCCGGTGATTTGTGTGCTGGGAGTTGAGAAATGGTTTTCGTGAGTTCATCTAGAGAGAAGGGTCTTGTCAGGGGTGCTAGGTCGTCTTCTGTCAGTTTGGGTAGGTCCAAGGCAGCTAGGAAGTCATCTATTTTGTCTGGGGTTGGCATGTTCACATTGGGGTCTTGTTTGAGGTTGTATAGTTCGCCGTAGTATTGAGCGAATTGGTCTACAATGTTTTGGGGGTTCGTTACCTTTGTACCCTTGGGGTCATTGAGGAAGGCGATCCTGGAGGCGACATTCCTTTTTTTCAGTTGTGATGCCAGAATTGCACCAGCTTTGTTGCCACTCGTAAAAAAATTGTGTTTCAGTTTCCTGAGTAGGTATGTTGTTTTGGCTAGTTCAATGTTGTTTAGCTTGTTTTGGAGAGCTAGAAGTTTTGTTTTTGTGGCTGGGTTTGGGTCTCTTTTGTTTGAATGTGTTAGAGTTCGGATTTCTTCCAAGAGATTAGTATACTCGGCCATTCTCTGCTTTTTAGCGTAGCTGGCATGTTTTATAAAACTGCCTCGTATGACCGCCTTATGTGCCAGCCAGATTTGTTAGATTGCGGAATCAGCGGTCGTGTTTTCCGCAATATAATTTTGTAGATCTTTCGTTATCTGGGACACTATTGATGGGTCTGCTAAAAGGGATTCATTAAGTCTCCAGGAGCCGGACCCTTTATTGGCAAATGCTTCTTTAATGCTAAGTGTAATGGGAGCGTGGTCGGACCACGTCATTACCCCAATTGTCGCTCCTTCTATTTGGGCCATCGATGTGGTGGGGATGAGGAATCTATCTATCCGAGAGTAGCTGTTGTGGGCTGCCGTGTAGCATGTGTGATCTATGTCTGTTGGGTGTAGAATGCGTCTACCATGGGTCTACCAAGCGGGCTGCGGTTAGTGTGGAGCATATTTTCGTTGTTAGTGTAGTTCTGTGTCTGAGTGTGCTACTCTTAATTTGGGCTGTGGTGGAGGAATCTAGTCTGCTGTACAATAGACAATTTGTGTCGCCTCCAATGATCACCTCCCCATGTCTATACATATCAGTTAAAGCCAGGATCATTTGCAAAAACTAGTTTTGATTTTCGTTAGGGCTATACACATTGATCAGAGTATACGGTGCATTATTCAACAAACATTGTAAAATTAAATATCGACCTTTTTTGTCACTAATTTTTCTAACTAAAGAGAATGCCACATCTTTGCTAATCACCGTGGAGACTCCTCTTTTCTTAGCTGAATAACATGTGTGAAAATCGTGAGGATACCACTTCGAGGTGAATTTGGGTCTAGAGCTCCATTTGAAATGGGTCTCTTGGAAAAATGCCACTTGGGCCCCACATTTTTTCGCTTCTTGCAAGGCTAGTCTCCGTTTATTGGGGGAGTTGAGCCCCTTGGCATTTAGGGACATGAGCTTAATCACCATCTATCCAACGTGAAGGGTGCTGTGGCAGGGGTTTGTGTTTCTTAATCAAGTCAGTGGTTATCCTATCTTGGCAGCGTCGGAGGACACCCATAGGGTTTGTGTGCCTGGGGGATCTAGGTATTTTGCAACCTTGTACATCAATTATGCTGTGCTTGCAGAGTACTCTCAGAGGGGGGGTGGTACGGAGAAGGAAGGGAAAACAGGGGGATAAACTATATACAACATTCCGTAAGTCACGTTTTGGTGACATATGGTTGCCTGAAGCAACGGAGAAGTTGGGCTACTAGAGCCTTGGGGTTGTATCACACGTGGTGTGGTATCTGGATCTCTGTGTGTAGGGGATCAACAATAACTTAGGTTGAGTTTAGTGCCTCCGGGTATCGCTCACCCGTTGCAGCTAGGCCTATGGCCTTCTGTTAAACCCTTATTGGGTATCCTAGGGTAAACTACAATAGTAACATAAAACAGAAACAGTGTAAACCTGTACGTTAAGTTCGTTGGAGGAAGTGGCGTGGCGTTAAGTCTGGGTCTTTCAGGTCGGTGACTTGTCCGGGTCCATGCGTGCTTGGGAGGCCCTGTGAACTCGTGACCAGTCCTTAGATAGCGCCTTTGGCACTTGGGCCGTTGCTTGTTTCTTCCGAGGGCTAGTAGGTAGGAAGGGTATGTTCCATTCTTGAAGCGCCGTTTTGCCGTCTTCCGGAGTCATGATGGGCTTGTCTACGCCGTTTCTTTTAATTAGTAGCTTTGTAGGAAAGCCCCACTTGTAGGGGATATTCGCGTTTCTTAGTGCCTCTGTGATCAGTGCAAAGGCTCGGCGTTTGAGCATGGTCGCCGAGGAAAGATCAGTGAACAGCTTGGTGTCTTTATACAATTCCGGCCATTTGTTCATGTTCCTGGAAGTCTGCATGATTCTGTCCTTGACAGTGAAATGGTGTACTCTCGTGATCGTATCTCTCGCAGTGTCAGGCGGGAGATGTTTAGGCTTGGGGAGTCTGTGGGTCCTGTCCAGGATCAGGTCAAATTCGGACAGAGAAGGGATCAGGGTTTTAAACAGGTCTTTGACGTACCTGGGTAAATCTTGTTGTGATATGGTCTCAGGTATACCCCTTATACGGATATTATTTCGTCTGCTCCTGTCTTCTTGGTCGGCCACCTTTTCTTCCAAGGATTTTAGTTTGCGTTCTAAATCTGTGTAGGCCTCTGCTATTGTATTATGTGCCTCCACCAGTTCTTCTGTCCTGTCTTCCAGGCGGGTAGTACGCTCCCCCATGCTATGGATGTCCGCTTTGATGTCAGCGGTCATCTGTTGGAGGTCAGCCTTAAATGAGGTTTGGAGCTCCTGCATAATTAGCCTGATTGAGGCATTTGTTGCTGGACTGCTGTGCTCTGACAGGCATTCTCCTGTATCATTGCTGTAAGCAGGCGAGTGCCGTCCGTCGGCGCCATCTTGGATTTTCGGCTCTGCAGGGTTGTGACCGTTCTAGGTGAGGATTGAGGGTTTTTTGTTTGAATTTTTCGTGGCCATCAGGAGCAGGGGTGTTTACCTGTGGATGTAGCATGTTATTGCTCGTTTCGTAGGGTTATTCACGCTGTTATAGCCGCTTTAGTGCCGCGGGCCGGGAGAGCTCCGTTCCTGCATGTCCGCTCACATGCGCGGTCAGGACACGCCCTCCCCTGATATTATTTTTAAACCTTTGTCCCTCTAATTTAAGACTATGTCCTCTTGTTGTGGTAGTTTTTCTTCTTTTAAATATAGTCTCCTCCTTTACTGTGTTGATTCCCTTTATATATTTAAATGTTTCTATCATATCCCCCCTGTCTCGTCTTTCCTCCAAGCTATACATGTTAAGATCCTTTAACCTTTCCTGGTAAGTTTTATCCCGCAATCCATGAACCAGTTTAGTAGCCCTTCTCTGAACCCTCTCTAAGGTATCAATATCCTTCTGAAGATACGGTCTCCAGTACTGTGTACAATACTCCAAGTGAGGTCTCACCAGTGTTCTGTACAATGGCATGAGCACTTCCCTCTTTCTACTGCTAATACCTCTCCCTATACAACCAAGCATTCTGCTAGCATTTCCTGCTGCTCGATTACATTGTCTGCCTACCTTTAAGTCATCAGAAATAATCACCCCTAAATCCCTTTCCTCATATGTTGAGGTTAGGACTCTATCAAATATGCTGTACTCTGCCCTTGGGTTTTTACGTCCAAGATGCATTATCTTGCACTTATCCACATTAAATGTCAGTTGCCACAATTCTGATCATTTTTCTTGTTTACCTAAGTCATTTGCCATTTGGCTTATCCCTCCTGGAACATCAACCCTGTTATCATCAGCAAAAAGACATACCTTACCATCAAGACCTTCTGCAATATCACTAATAAAAATATTAAAGAGAATGGGTCCGAGTACAGATCCCTGAGGTACCCCACTGGTGACAAGTCCAAGCTTCGAATATATTCCATTGACTACAACCCTCTGTTGCCTGTCACTCAGCCACTGCCTTACCCATTCAACAATATTGGAATCCAAACTTAAAGATTGCAGTTTATTGATAAGCCTTCTATGTGCAACAGTGTCAAAAGCCTTACTGAAATCTAGGTAAGCAATGTCTACTGCACCACCCTGATCTATAATTTTAGTTACCCAATCAAAAAAATCAATAAGATTAGTTTGGCATGATCTCCCTGAAGTAAACCCATGTTGTCTCTGATCTTGAAATCCATGTGTTTTAGATGTTCATCAATCCTATCCTTTAACATGGTTTCCATCACTTTCCCCACTACTGAAGTAAGGCTTACTGGCCTATAGTTGCCCGACTCCTCCCTATTACCTTTCTTGTAAATGGGCACAACATTCGCTAACTTCCAATCTTCTGGGACTACTCCTGTTAACAATGATTGGTTAAAAAAATCTGTTAATGGTTTTGCTAGTACACCACTAAGCTCTTTTAATAGCTTTGGGTGTATTCCATCCGGTCCCACTGACTTTTTTGTCTTTACTTTTGACATTTGAAATAGAACCTCTTCCTCTGTAAACTCACGTTAGAAGCGTCTAATAGTGTGCTTACAGCGCAGTTGTAAAAATTCTAATCTTCTGGGTATTAATCTGCTAAATAGTATATTTTGTGGCCTGCTCTTCATATCTGAGTGTCAAATCGAAGCGTCCAATAGTGTGCTTACAGCGCAGTGGTAAAAATTCAAATTTTCTGGGTGTTAATCTGCTAAATAGTAAATTGTGTGGCCTGCTCTTCATATCTGAGAGTCAATTAGAAGCGTCTAATAGTGTGCTTACAGCGCAGTGGTAAACATTCTTATTTTCTGGGTGTTAATCTGCTAAATAGTACATTTTGGGGCATGCACTTCAAATCTGAGAGTCAAATAGAAGCGTCTAATAGTGCTCTTACTGCGCAGTTGTAAACATTCTAATTGTTTTTCTGCTAATCTGCTGCTTACATTGGAGTTTTAAAAAGTCAATTTTTTTTTGGTGCTAAATTGTATATTTAGGGTGTTCACTTCATATCTGAGAGTCAAATCGAAGCATAACTTTGATTCGAATTTACTGCATCGTTCACTTGTAATATTGTTTCACACCTACAACACTTGTTACACAGATCTAAGTGATAGAAAACGGATTGATATTTTCTACACTAGAATCTACCAGATAACAAGCTGCTATATTTAAACCAGTGATCAATAGCTAAGAGGTACTTCAACAATATTGTAATTCTGGGGCAATACCCTCACAAGTCAAACTGAGAAGTCAGTTTATAGGGAAACTGTTGCCTGGATACAATTCTAAAACAACGTCCATATGTCCTTTGCAGACTTTACATTCTGGAAAAACACAGGGGCCAACTGCTGTGGCTTTCTGCAGTGTGCATACCAGCAAGGAGGGCAGAGTTGATGAGTGGGGGGAAGATGATGTGGAAGATGATGAGGTCATAGACCCCACATGGAATCAAGGTCATGCAAGTGACGTGTGCAGTTTGGAGGAAGAGGCGCTGGTCGCACAGAGGTACCAGCACAGCATAAGAGGGAGCAGGGTGCAAAAGTGGAGCGGCCGTCCCCTAGCGCTCGTCTGTATGTATTAGCTCGAGAATTACCAGTTATCCAAGTAATACATGTAGCGATCAAAAGATCCATAATAGAGTTGAGCGAACCCGAACTGCAAAGTTCGGGTTCGTACCAGATATAACGTAGTTTCACAGTCAGGTGGGCAGTCCGGTGACCAGGACCCAGACACTGTCTTGGCGCCGGTCGGACGACCGGGACCCAGTATGCCTGATGTTGAAGTTAGGAGTCACAGTGTGGAATGGATTAGCAGGGTCTTGTGCAGGGTAACCGCACGCCCCCTGGGGTTGAGCACCAGCGTTTGTGCGGCCACATACCAGGACCCTGATGCAGCTTCAATAGAAAGAGTACTGGATACCAGAAGCCATCACCAGACTGATCCACAACTTGGAACTGGATGTGACATTCACTGTAGCAGCTGTGCGCGCTTTTGGCATTGTCACCCTGCTGCTGCTCGCCTGTCAGTGCTGCAGCATAACTTTGGCCTTCCCGCTCACCGCCTCATGAAACTGTGTGAGCAGCAGCAGGCGATAGTGGAATTTCAGCTGCAGCACGTACGGGTCAGTGGCTCTGCACCAGACTTCCCTCCAATTCATCAGAGTTAAAGGATTTCAAGTTTCTAAAGAGTCCTGTATTGTTATTTGTTGTCACTATCTTCCCGCGTCGGGAGTGGGTCATTTGCGAGCCTGCTGCCTTCCTTGCATGTGGTAGCCATTTCTCAGGGTCCCTGTATGGAATGGAACCCTGATTCCCTGTTACCCGTGGTCACCATGGTAGGCGCAGAAATTGGCATCGAAAGTTGATATGGATGACATCTGCATGCAAAGTCGCCGCCACGGGGATGTGCGATTGGCCCGAGGTTCTCTAGAGTCAACAAAGTGCCTGCGCAACTATAATGTCAACAGCTACTCTGTAACAGAGTTGTCTTTTTTTATATGACACAATATTTTGGGGGCTACCTCAATTTAAAAAATATATATATATATATATATATATATATATATATGTATATATATATATAAAAAAAACAGTGTTGGCTACCTCATCCTCCTCCTCCACCGCTGTTTCCACCTACACCGCAATGGTCACCGCCTCCTCAACCTATGGGTCACTTAGTATAAACTATGTACACATTAACAGAGGCTTGTGAAGGCATTTTCTCCATGCACCAGGAGTTGAGCATTTCTCCATGCATCAGGACTGCAATAAATGCACCGCAGGCCACAAATGTTTCTTTTATTGTATATCCCAATATTTTTGGGGCTACCCCAATTAAAGAAACAAAAAACAAATAAAAAACAGTGTTGGCTACCTCCTCCACCGCTGCTTCCACCTACACCGCCACGGTCACTGCCTCCTCAACCCTATGGGTCACTTAGCATAAACTATGTACACAATAGCAGAGGCTTGTAAAGGCCTTTTCTCCATGCATCAGGAGTTGAGCTCAGTTTGAACAATGAAATAGAATACCCTGCACTCCAACCCTCTCTCAAATGGATAATTCTGGCCACGCTTTAGATTTTGATTTATGTTCTTCCAAAGCTAAAATCAAAGATTCCATCTAGTGCTATTTTATGGCTCAGCTGTATGTTTATGTTATTTTAAGTGATTTCCCTATCCACATTTGTTTGCAGGGCACTTGTCCTACTCTTACCCCAATTGTACTTGTTTTTGCAGCTCTCTAGCTCTTTCCAGGAGTTTTTTAAAGGCATTTTTGTGGCCAAAAGTTCGGGTCCCCATTGACTTCAATTGGGTTTGGGGTCAGGTTCGGGGTCAAGTTCGAAATCGAACCCGGACTTTTTTTCAAAGTTCGGCCGAACCCGCCGGACCCGAACATCCAGGTGTCTGCTCAACTCTACTGGCTAACACATTTTTATGTTTTAAGGTGAACAATTAGAAAACTAAAGCATTATATGATAGCGTTAAATTATGTGATTACATATAGTAGATCATACATCTTACTGCAGCATTGTTTTTGTATTATTGTTAACAGTATACCAATTGTCCTGATGATTTTATACTTTATAATTTTATAGTCAGAAAGGTCTCTCAGTCTGTGTTTTGGTTTTTTTTTTTTTGTGGTTGTGTTTACTTTGTAATAGCATTTTAAAATATTACACACATTTTTTCCTGTTGCATTGATTCTGAATGTCCAATAATGATCTTTCCAGGATAGGTGCTTATTTTTTGATTTACAAGATGTTTCCTTTTTAAACTCTTGGGAATAGGTTTATCAGTATAACTGATAATACGGTGACCCAGCACCATTATTTTTAGAAGCCCAGCCCTCTCTTAACTACAAAGATTTCTATCAGGCCTAAAGAGAATACTCTTGATTCTTCATACCTCAATAAAAGGGATTTGTGACTTAGGATTGAGTGTAACCAATAGTTCACAAAATAATGATCATGAAACACAAAAGATGAGATAAAATCTAACCATTTGCTAGAAATGCCTTGCCTCTGGATACACAATTCCAAAGTTCTTTTTCGAATCCTGATTTAATGACAAGAAGTGGTACTCATCAGTATCTATTAATTTAGTGATCAGTAAAGAAAATAACAATGTAGATTCCATGCTACTTAATTTGCTTATTTTGTTGTTTCCAAATTATTAAGGGCAATCAATAGAAATAAAAAATATCAGGTATTCCATTGGAAGGAAAATTAATTATTTTAATGTAAAGGTAAATATGTTGTCAGATACTGTAACTCACAATAATTTAAAATCTGTCCTTAAAATAAAAGATTTTTGGCATTAAGGTTGTCTGACAAAAACACAAAGAGCACCTTGATGATTATATGCATAAAGGGGAATATGTCCAAAATGGAAATGTACAATCTGAATATTAAGTATTAATGATTAGAGCAAAGATACCATTTGTCATAAATGTAGTAAATGTAAATATGAACATGAATTTTAGTAACAAAAATACCTGCACATGCCAGAGCACTTTAAATATAAATTTAAAGTGCTGTATGTGAAAGTGCATTAAATATATATGAAGTGCAAAGAAAACACCATAAATGATGATCTGCTACTTATTAAAAAAACATATAAATACAAGTGCAATTTTTATAAAATGTCTACATCCCATAGAAATATTTTTGAAAATGTTTATATATATATATATATATATATCTGCAAAAAATGGATGACACTTGATAATGCAGAATATCTATGTAATATTACACTTTCTGTTTAAACAAACCAAAAAAAAAAAAACACATTCACAGATCCCTGATCCACTTCTAACCTGGTCTAGGTATAACAGGGTAAAAATGAAGGATTTGCTGCAAATCTCTAATTTTATGCTGTTATACCCGGTTCAGGTGGCTCTGGGATCTGTAGTGCATTTCTTGTTTAAATGGAAAGGGCAATAAGGTACACTTCAATCAAGATTGATAAACCATGGTGTTTTGCCAGATTTTAAGCTCACAGTCAGGATCTTACGTTCCTTTTTTATCAGTATGTTTGTTATTTGTCTGTGTTCCATCTATTGTAGAGCGCATCAGAATATGTCAGTGTTCTATAAATACCAAATAATAATAATATTATATTCAAACAGTCTTTCATAAATGCATGCAGTAAAGAAGAATACATTGTAAATATGCAGGCTGCTAAAGCCCCTGGCATAAAAGCCACTTTTTTTCAAGATGTCCCCTTTGTGTCTTTTTCCCTGCGTTCTCCATCTTGTGTCTGTGTTGTAATGTCTCCCTTGTGTCTATGTCCCCCAAATTCCACCTTGTGTCCATATCTACAAGTCCCCCTTGTGTCAAAGTCCCCTTTCCTCCCTTGTGTTTGTCTCCATTTGTGTCACCACACAGTATGGGGTAAGGCTCCTGAGAGCATGCATGTCTTTTTAGAGTTCATTAGCTGCCAAGTGCAGAGAAGATGGGGTTCTAACAAGACATCAGGTAGAGCAGTGGTGCCCAAAAGGTAGATCATCAGATGTTTGAAAGCTTTCATGATGCTTTGTCGTTCTAAATGCAAAGCATTATGGGACTTGTAGTTCTACAACATCTGGTGATCTACCTAATGGGCACCCCTGTGGTAGAGCATGCTCACTTTCAGCACTATTGCACCTACAGAGGAACACGTTTGGATGGGCCTTTACTGGTACTGAGCTTAGTTTTCTCTTAAAGCCGTATTATCACCAAAATAATTTTAATAATCAGGGCTCCCAAACTATCTGCACAGTTTGTGGGCAGGCCACTTATTATACCTCACTATTAGTGATGTCCCGAACGGTTTGCCGAACGGTTCGCGAACGGTTCGCCACGAACGGTTCACCACGGACTCATCATTGAGTAAACTTTGACCCTGTACCTCACAGTCAGCAGACACATTCCAGCCAATCAGCAGCAGACCCTCCCTCCCAGACCCTCTCCCCCTCCTGGACAGCTCACTAAGAATGCAGCTTCACAATGAATGTAAAATGGATGCTGTCCAGGAGGTGGGAGGGTCTGGGAGGGAGGGTCTGCTGCTGATTGGCTGGAATGTGTCTGCTGACTGTGAGGTACAGGGCCAAAGTTTACTCAATGATGAGTCTGTGGGAACCGTTCGTGGCGAACCGTTCGCAAACCATTTGGCGAACCGTTCGGGACATCACTACTCCCTATGATATTAGGTATGTGATCATAAATATAAATAAGTACATTTAAAAAGAAATACTCCAACCCTGACAAAAGGCAAAAAAAATTAAAAATACATTTGTAGCACAGCTAATCAATGTATCTTTTTTATTACTAAAACCAGCTACATATATATTGTGAGCTGAAAATGTTTGATCGTTAGAATATACTCACTATTGGCAATGCTTAAGCATATCATATAAACAAAATTGCATATATAAACGTATGATCAATCTTCCGATGCAATATATGCATAACATTTGTGGTTGTGTCATATTTATATTTGCATGGCAGGTAGTTAAAGTTCTTCAGCGTCCAGGAGGATATATATGTTGGAATGCTGATTTGTCGGAATCTGCATTTTTATGCCTTTCATGGATACTCAGCTATAACCTGTCGCATCTCACAAACAAAATGCTAACACAACATTCCCACTCTGTAAGTCATGATCATTTAAGAAAACCAGATTGATTTAGCATAGTCAAGCCTGACTGTTGAATCCTTTTGCAGATGAAGATGTCAAAAGGCAATCTATTGAGAGAATGACAGTGTGATTAACCAGAATGAGTCCTAAGTCAGATGTTGCATGGACCACAGGGAAATTAAGGCACCAGTTTTTACTGTCAAGATCATCTGTGATAGGGTAAAATATCCTAGCAACAGAACAAGCCTCAGCATTGCCATCTCTGCAAAAACTAATTTTGTTGTTATCCGCACCACTGTCTTTTAATCTGAAAGTCTTTAAAGCATAATACTCATGTGATCTGTTTTCTTGTAATTTCTTTCTTCACCAGTACCCTTAATTTAAAGAATTAGGTTTTAGAAGAGTATTTAAATCACTCTCCATTTAAACACATCTCGAGTTAGCACATTGCATTTAAGCAGAACAGTGACTCCAACATTCTGATATACAGTGTATTATCAGCCATTGGATGTAATTATAGTATTCAGTGAACAGTACAAAGTCACAAAGCAATCACTTTAATTGATAAAAGTTAATTCTAGTTTAAACTCTCCAACTAAGGTCACTACACTATTTATAAATAAAGTATTACTGATTTTAGTTACATCATAGACAACAAGGCAGGTTGAAATATATATTTTATTTTAATCATCAAAGGAATATTCGCTAAATTATTACCACTGGGGCTGGTAATGGTAGTGGATATGGTACACTAAGTCTTTAGGTGCCATTCCAGTGGTATTTGGGAAAATAATTTTGAGCAATTTAACAAAAAAATTGCTTGATTCTTCATCAGCCAATGAGATTATGTGAAAGTGTCACTTTTTGCATCATGCGTTGAATGCCATCCAACCTTGGAGAGCAACTATAGCCTGCTAAAAGTGAGTGCAGCTTAGCACAACACTCATAGTTTATTGTTGGCTACTAAGGTTGAACAACTTTGTACAGATTATAATAGATAGAAGTTATCTAGGAACGG